GCAACACAATGTATAGTTTTACTCATTCTTCTTTGGGGTGTGCTGAGTTACAAACCTGACTCCCGGATGCCAAGCAAGCCCCTTACCACAGAGCAACAGCCTCAGCTCCTAAGTGGAGTTTTTAAAAAATGATTTAATTTTAAAAGTTACTTGTTTTCTGTGTATGAGTGTTTTGTGTGCATGTGTATGTATGCACAGTGTGTGTGTGTGTGTGTGTGTGTGTGTGTGTCTAGTGCCCACACAAGTCAGAAAAAGGAATAGGATCCCCTGGAACTAGAGTTGCAGATGGTTTTAAGTCACTGTGTTGGGTCTGAGAAATCAAACTGGGTCCTCTGGAAGAAGAACAAGTGCTCAACTACTGAGCCATCTCTCCAGGCCCTCATGCAGAGTTTTTAAAAGCAAGAGTGAGTAGGAAGGGAATATTTTATAATATGCTCTTTTACTACTGTGAACATTGGGATCATGAATAAATGTATTTCCCTCCCTCCCTCCCTCCCTTCCATTCATTCTTTTTTTCCTAAGACAGGGTTTCTCTGTGTAGCCCTGGCTGTCCTGAAATTCTACTGTGTAAACCAGGCTGGCCTTGAACTCAGAGATCTATCTGCCTCTGCCTCCCAAGTTCTCAAATTAACGGCTTGCATGCTACGCCTAGCTAGACTTCGTTGTTCTTAATGGCTGCACATTTAACTGCATGGAGTATCTGGTGAGTTATCCCAGTCCTTGGGTACATAAACTCAAACAATGCTCACAAGACAAGCCAGGTTTCACTATTCTCATTTCATACTCACTCACTTTATTGGGTACAATTTAGTCTTAATAGCTCAGGTTATAAGTACATTCTGAGTATGCCAGACACTTTATAAAGAACCAATCTAACTGAACAGCTCTAACAAGCGCTGCTGCGGGGACAGTTCTCTCACCAAGAGAACTGCATGGGCCTGATAAGGACCTCTGCTATAAACAGTGGTGTGCTGAGTGGTACTCACAGTTACTTGAGAACATGAAATGCAATCTTTGCTGGAGTGGAAAACTGGGGATGCTCCTAAGGGAGGATGAAGAGGGGTGTCTGCCACTCCAAGGAGGGACAAAGTAGTATCTGAGAACTGAGTGCACACTGGGGTCCAGACTAGAGGCAGAAGAGGCAGCAGAACCGACTGAGCTTGTGATTCGGAGCTGGTAGACAGAGGCAGCAGTGTACACACACAGGACGAAGACTGCAGCTCCAGAGCTACACACAGAGTCTCAGTCTACACCGACTCAGAGCAAGCTGCTTAACCACTCTGTGCTCTGCCTACTCAGTTATGATGGACGACAATCAAAGGACAGCTGTGCTTTGACGTGTGGTCATTCATGCACAGGTGTGGAACAGTTGAAAGAAACACCTCAAAGGTTAAGCTGACTTAACTTGCTGACCGGCCACAGGGGAGACAGTGGTAGATGCCCAGGGAAACAAAAGATGGTTTCTGAGATACACACCTGGGCATCTAGATAAAAAACCTGCCCAGGAGAAGGACCTAAGGAGAAATCAAGGGAGGGGCCATCAATTGATCATGAGGGCTCATCCAATATCCTAAACATGAGCCCACAAGAAGTAAAGACCAGAGGAGTAAAGGGACCGCAGGAAACTCTGTGGTAGGAGGCTTTGCTGGCAATTCTAGTGCTGCTACTGCACTAAGAGGGCACAGACGCCGCTCCTCCCACCCAGCAGCCTCGGTTTCAGCCCACAGCAAGGTATCCTCTGCTGCCATGTTACTCGTATTCTCATGACCCTTTGTACACGCAAAACCAACCAAGTTAACCATGTGATGCCCAAACTAGAAACCCCAAATCCACGGAAGCATCAACTTACTTCTCATGGACACATACTGTACATTTTCTTCTAGATTAATCCTTATTTTTGATGGCTGGGAAAAAAGAAAATATAAGAATTAACTCAGCATTTCATAAATAGTAATGAGAATAAATTTTGTTCTGTGGTAGTTCTTTTTTTAAGGCCTTTTCCCCCATCCTGAAGTAACAAGGGAGCGAGAAAGGGGGTCTTTCCAAACTGCATTTGGTCTGTGATGTCAGCCCCTCCAAGGACACCCTAGGCTTCACATACTTCTGTGTAAATAAAGGAAGATTGGAGGGAGATGGGATACTTAAGTGGGAAACAATTCGCAGCAGACACTCCTATACCAGCCGCAGCAGGTGCTGGGGAGCAGATGGGTCGGTTAGGTTAGGGCATGGCCCTAAGTCTTGGAAAGCTCAGAGATGTGAAGTTGTGGCACACGAGGTGAGGCTCATCCCCGCCTACTTAAGTGGCTCCAAAACCGTGCTCACCAACTCTTAGCCATGCACTCCCATTAATAAACAATCAGAAGCCTTAAAAAAACATATGGGAAGCAGTACATGCTATGGATAGAGAAATAAAAATAACCCTTAGATTACTGAGACGACCAGGCAAAGGGCAGCAGCCCCCGTGGTAGTCTCGCCATGCTGCCGGGCGCTTGGAGGTTGCTGAAGCTGCATCAACTGCAATGGTGATTTGCAATACATTTAGAAACTGTTTTTGCTCCCTGCATAGGTACACACTGCGGCCATGTGGGAGTGGTCCAGTTTTGTAGCTAGAAAGATGACCAATCACATCAAGGCTATGCTGAAGTGTTGATGTTTTAAGCAGTAGAGGCTCACCAAGGACTTCTGAACAAGACACAGTCTCATTCATGGTCTATAAATGTGGTACACGTGGGACAGTGCATTGGCTAAAAGGTCAGGAGTGGGGCAGCTGGAGGCCAGGGTGGGGCAGCTGGTACCCAGGGGTGGGGCAGCTGGAGGCCAGGTGGACAGCAGAGAAGCTGCTCACACAAGTTACAGAGCCTTTGCAGATGACTCTTGTCACCTCTGACAAGAACATCTGGTAGCAGGTTAACTTGAGATGACATCCTGCAACAAAGCCAGTTTAGGACAGTCTAGGATTGAAATGACCATGTGACACACTGGATGTGCAACCCTGAAGCTGGATGCTCCTGCCATAGGCAGGGACTAGCTCTCAGCCCTGTTGGCAATGGCACCAAACAACAGAACTCTGAAGCAGTCCTGTGAAAGTCGACCAGAGACAAGTGTGATCAACTGTCATTGCTATTTTTACATGTAACCCTTCTCCAAACACACTTTGGGCTAGCTACCAAAGCAAGGTTTTTTTCTTTTTCTTTTTATATCTATATATTTTGCATGAATGTGCAATGGTGTACATGCTGAGGTCAGAGGACAACCTGTGGAGTCAATTCTCTCCTTCCACCATATGGTTCCTGGGGACTGAATTCAGGCTTTAAGGCCTGGCAGCAAGTGCCACGATCTATTGTGCTATCTGGCTGGACTGCAAGGCTTTTTTGAGAAAGGTCTTATAGCCCAGGCTAGCCTCAAACTCAACCTATTCCTAAGGATGACTCTGAATTTCTGATTCTCCTGTCTCCATCTTGAGTGCTAGGACTGCAGGCATATGTCTCAGCAACCACTTACTTAGTCCTGGGGATTGAACATGGGGTTCTGTGCATGCTAAGAAAACACTATCAACTGAGCATACACTCCGGCCTCAAAGCAAGGTTCCTGAATTGAGAAACAAGCTCAACCTCTCACACTGACGTGAAAAGTGTGTTAACAAGTATCCTGAAGTGTTAATATGCATTCATAGCTGCCTGCTGCAGAAGCTCCCTTTTAACCTCGAGTAAGAGGGCCAAGTTCTGCACAGAGCCTGCCTATTGGCTGCCCACTTGCTTTAGAGGGGCAGCTCTTCTGCTTATAGTTTGGTACAGGGACAGCACTCCAATGAGACATAAGCCCATACCCTGCAATAAATGCAGACTCTTATACAGTGGATGTACTGACATAGTAAACAGGTTCCAAATCATCATTCATTGTCTTCCCTGTGTCTAAAATCCTTCTTTCTCTTTCTGAGATAGCTTCTTGCTATAATGTCCTGGCTATTCTCAAACTCCCTATGTAGCTCAGGCTGGTTTTGAATGTGCCATCCTCCTGCTTCAGCCTCTGAGTGCTGGGACCACATAAGTGTGCTCACCATGCTTGGCTAACGTCTCCCACTATGAAGCTGCAAAGCCATCTTGCTTACACATGGAAGGGCAGAAGACTGCCCACCCCCCAGCCCCAGTGGACACCAATAGAGACCTCAGGACTTTCAGAGAACACCCAGCAGTGACCCCGATAAGTGAGTTGCACATTTGACATGCTCCAACCCACTTCCCTGCTACTCCAATTCTCACATCTAGAAACCTGTGTCTACGCCAGGGAACACAGAGTGGAGTTTTGCCATCCCTGGCCCCATCCCTTGTATCTATAGCTTTAAGTGGCTTTAGAATCTTCTCGTTTTGGAGGGTTGGGGTAATGATGAGGATAGGATCTCACTGTACAGCCCAGGTTGGCCTGGGACTTGCTAGGTAGCCTAGGTAGGCCTTTCACTCACCATCCTTCTGCCTCTGCCTCCCAAGGACTGGCATTACAGAACTGGGCCACCACACCTGGCTAGAAGCTTTAAAGGTAGAAGAGAAAAATAAAAAGTGACTTTTAGAGACTAATGTCCTAGGCACTGCCTCCTAAGTAGCTAATTTTCTCTATGCATAGGTTTCTCTGTATTAGCTTCCTGTGTGGGAGCAATACTTCTTCAGGAGCTCACTGAATACTAATCTCTCTAAGGTGGCTGCATTCATATCACCATCCAGATCTTCCTTACCTTCTAATGTGCAAACCAAGTTCACCTCCATCCAGGACTATTTTCTCCCTGTTCCAAAGCCAAGACCAGGTTTAAGCCATTAAACTTAACCTGGCAAGAAACACTTAGCAAGATATGTAACTGCTCTGCACAATGGCTTATTAATTCTTTGCATTCGCTAGTCAATTAAAAAAAAAAAACAACCCTGACACCTTAAGTCACTATTTTACAGGCAAGAAAATAGAATCTCCATTTTATTAACTTCTTGCTTAATCCTTTGTCCACAGCCAGATCTTCACTACAGTATGAAATAGACTGAAATACACAAAACCTGCAGAGGACTGAGCTGCTCCGGGGCACCCAGAGTATGATATGACTAACAGTCTTGAGGCTAACGAAGGGCTAAAGACACTTGTCTTAAGTTACCCATGAATCTGGGCTTCAGACATCTCGATGACAATATGGAAATGAGGCCCAGGATGCAGTATGGAACCTCAGAAAAATAATTTAGGAAAGCTAAACATTGTGATTTACGTTGAAAGGGTTCTACTCTGTCCTGGGAGCACTAAGGAACCACTAATTCCTTTGGCCAAATGAGGTTAGAAACACACCTTCAAGAGACCATCAGTTAAGGGTGAAGCACACAGACAGTGAGTGAGAGGCAGCAGCAGTGGCAGGAAACCAGTTGAGATGGCATTATAGCATAGAACAGCACTTGACGGCAGCTACTGATGTTAATAACTTCAGTGACCTGGAGTGGGGTTCTAGAGGCAATTCTGAAAAAGGGAAAAAGGTAACAGCCATGCCCAGAGTGCTGGCTTGGGCACCACGGTAGGCAGAGCACCATTAAGATGGGATTCCAGAAAGAGGTTGCTTTCTTAGGCAAGGGGTCTGTGAATCTGGCTTTGGATGTACGTTTGAAATCTGCACACCCGCTGCTGTTCCAGAGGGCTCATCCACGTGCCAGCTCATAACCACTTGTGATGAGCTCCAGGTGATCTAACACGGTTTTCTGGCCTCTGTGGGCACCAGTACACATGTGGCATACACACAGACTTTTTTTTTTTTTTTTAAGTTTTAGATCTAAGTAAGGACATCTAACAT